AGACAAAACATAAAATCTCGTTTTTTCTTTTCTTAGGAATACGTGCAGTGGCCCTAAGGGCTTCTACTCACCACATGCACAAAAGACAAAACATATGGTGGCGTATTATTCCATGTTCTGCAGAAGATTCATTCTAGTTTTGCACATTTGGTGAGTAGTGCGGCCAAGCCCTGAGAATCACGTGCAGAGACCAACAAGGCCTAGCTAAGTGAGCAACCCGTAACTGCTGAAACCGAGATGCACAGACCTGAATTCGAATCCAGACTATATAATCTTGGCCCACGATTACGAGCTGCAAGGTTGAAGTGTACCTCTGTTACACGTTGGGTCCTAGCTAATTAGCTGTAGGGCCCCTTCGGAAAAGAGGTTGGACACAATTAAAATAGGAATACTCACATGTATACATTGTATAGACATGTTTGGGGTATGGTGTGGCCCTGGAGTTTGTCCCTCTTGCTTTCTGATTTTTAAAAGCGAGAGGGATGTTTGGCCACCCCACCCTGTCCTTTCGCTTTTTATTTTTTATTTCTTTTTGGTGATGCGCCACATCACGTGCCCACGCGTGCATGCGCGTGCGCTCTGCGCCGCATGTGCCGCGACCCCGAGCACGGGATGCGCCGCAAGTATGAAAAAAACTTAAAAAAACAAACAAACAACAACAGCCAGTTGTCAAACTCGGCCCGCTGACTGCTCCCCAGTGGATGGATGACACACATGTAAAACTATACGTAGTCTACGCGAACTGATCACGAGTTCAAGTCCTGATTGAACCTATAAAATTGTACAATATAATGGAGATAAACCCTTGTTTGCTAAATTGAAGGTTGTGGCCTATAGGAGTGAAGGTTAATATAGCCTAAAGGTAGCTTTCCCGGGGCGCCCGGCCGGGCGCTCAGCACAGGTAGGGACCACGCCCAGGGTACCCAGGGCAAGCAAAAAATCAGGTTTTTTTTTTTTTTTTTTTTTTTTTTTTTGGCTGCCAGACCTTGCTGCACTTTGGGAATAAGGCCCAAATCCGGCCTCTTTTTTTAAATTTTCATGCATGTTGATTTCTGTGTGTTGGGGGGTCGAGGAGGGCGTGCAGGAGGGGGCTGGGTTATGGACTGTCCATTTACAGGGTGGGGGATACATCGGCTGCTGTGTCGCACCTGTGCTGGAGTGCCACGTCAGAGGGAGGAGGGAGGAGCGCCACATCAGAGGAGGGAGAGAGGACGGAGAAGCGCCACTCCAGAGGGAGGGAGGGATGAGGGAGAAGGGAGGAAGAAGGGGCGAGGTGATGAAGGGGGCACGAGGGGGGGGGAGCGCCACTTCAGAGGAAGAAGGGAGGCGAAGAAGAAGACGAAGGAAAAGAAGAAAACCAGAAAGAAAAAAGAAAAAAAAGAAAGAAGAAGAAAAAGAAGAAGAAGAAGAAGAAGAAACAAAGGAGAAGCCCAGGATTACAATTTGAATTCTGGATCAGTGTGCGCAGTCGACTGATGGAGATGAACGGCCAAAATCCAAGAATAAAAAAAAGATAAAAAACCTACAAAACAGACTTTACCGGACCCCCCCCAAAATGCGCCGACGGCCAAACTGGAACTTGGCACGTTCAGAATATAGTGGCAGCGCAAAAAAACAAAAATTGAGGCTTTTTCTGCCTCGGAGAGAGAGGCGCCCGGGTGCCTGCTCAGGGGGATCGCCTAGCTGGGCGCCCCGGGCGTCATTCTAGGCACGGTGGGGTAACCCCATGCGCCCAGGCTGCAAAAACAGAAAAAAGAAAAAGCACTTGCCGCATTGCTCGGTTGCACCCTTTTGCTGGAACAAGGTTGTAGGCAGTCAAGTCAAGACGGGCAATCAACCTGTTTCTTCCTTTTTGTTTTTCAAAGGAGAGTTGCACCCTTTTGCTGAAGTGAAATTTATATACTACGTAGCCTATAGACGTGTGGTTCACAATACTCGTCCACATAAGATTGATTCAACAAGATCGAGCACTCTCCAGAGTTCAAACCATACTTGCGGCGCATCGAGGTGCGCGGCATCCCGCACGTGCGCCGCACCGCGCACAACGCGCGCGCACGGGGTGCGGCGCATCCCGAAAATAAGGGGTCGGCAAAAAAAAAAAAAAGGTGGAGGTGGGGTGTTGTAGGCTCGAGTGGGATGTCGCGTCAAGAAACGAAAAAAAAACAACAACAATTTGAGGCCGCGCGGCGCCCCGGAAAAAAAAAGGGGGGGGAGCTGAAGTTGGTTTGTTTTTTGAAGTTTCGAGAGAGCTCATCCTGTCGATGGAAGTACCAGGAGGCCAGCCGTGAGGTTCGAGACTTGCCTTCTCTCTCTCTCTCTCTCTCTCTCTCTCTCTCTCTCTCTCGTGCGCGCGCGCGCGACTTCTTCCACCGCTTCCCACCACCACCCCTTCGGCCTGTCTCCCGCCTTCCGCCATCCACCATCTCTCTCTCTCTCTCTCTCTCTCCGCCATCCACCATCACTATCTCTCTCTCTCTCTCTCTCTCTCTCTCTTCTTTCTTTTTTTTTCTTTTTTCTTTTTTTTTCCTTTTTTATATGGTCCATATGTAGACTGAAGTGTGTCATCCTTGTGCAGCAGCCTTGAACAGAAGCCTCAAAGGATCTCTCTCTCTCTCTCTC